CAGGAGAAAAGCAAATGGAAGAATCTGATAGACTATATTATCTTCTATTTCACCATTTTGTTATGGCAGAGGAGCAATTTCCCAAGAGCATCCCACCCATCAATGGAAAGACAATTACACTCTTCATGTCTTCTGAAAAACAGAAAGGCTAAAGCCTTCTGTGGTCCTGGAAGGGTTTCCAGATGGCAATTTGGCTACCAAGAGCTGTCAGCAGATTATCACGCAGTAGAACAGAGACTTTTGATGATTACTTCAGACTTCAGGCAAAACTGGGTTTTATTATCAGTAGGTTTCTCTTTCAAACATTTGCAAATTAAATGACTGAATTGTAAGAATCATTCAATTGCTTTGTGGTGCCATAGTAGTGCATTTTTATGTGCTTTCTCTTGGTTCCTTGCAAGGACAAAGTGACTTCCTGGATCACACGGCAAGAATAACTGAAATTCTTTGCCTGCACAGTGCAGGAGGTCATGAAATGTTCAGAAAGATCCCTTTTAGCAATATAACCTATTAATTTATAAAGCAATGAATAGCAAAAACTGCTTCAGCTGTCAGGACTCCTTAGTTTTTTTAGCACATGCAGAACAATCCCTTCTTACTTCTTTTGCTTCTGGAAACGTTCAGAGGAAATTCCTTAGTCTTTTTCTGAGTACAAAATTTGTATTACTTTAACTATTCAAATATGCTGAAAGTAGTACTGGTCCCCTGATGGGACTCACGTATAGGAAGAAGAATGAACCATAAGGTCCCTTTCTACTAGTGCAAATAAGTAAAAATTGGGTATGACCAAACCAACAATATATAGTGCTCTTGACCAAATCAGATGCTGTATTGCAAAGCCTGGCTACGAACAAAGCCTTAATTCTACACACCTACAAAATGGCCAAGTAAATGAAACAGTAGTTCTCTAAGGGTGTTGGCAAAACACCCCCCCACTTCAAAGATGATTGCTTAGTTGTTTTTTAAAAGCACAAGAATAGTCTGTCAGTAACACAATACATGAAATCAGCCAGCTAACCACGATCAACAACTGATGCTTGACAGAAATTTAAACGCAGACCTGAGGTATCTAAGAGCCAGAACAATATAAGTTCTGTTAAAGTCAGGGGAACACTTTTGATTTCAGCTAGAGACAGTTCAAATCCTTACTAAATTCTATGAAGCTTATTAAACTCCACTTCCTTGCAGCAGGTGACCAGCCTACTTTCTGATGTGAAGCATGAGGTTTTATTTATATCCCTTTTTTACCTTGCTTAAATAGAGTTTAATTACCTAGTCCTTTAAAAGTAAAACATATATACACAACCCAGACACTGGTTTTTGATGACTTCCTGCAGCATTAAATTCGCCAGGCTTATCCCGTGGATTGTATTTCCTTATACGGATTTCATATTTCCATGTTTTTGGAGTCTGAACCTTTGGAGATCATTTGAAGGTGACACTCAAAGTAAATCTTGGGCTGTTTAAGCCTAAATCAAGTGAAATTCTAAAAAGTACCTGAACAAGTCATGTGGAATGCAAGTGTCATATTTCACACATCTTTCATAAATTCTGATATCTCCCACCTGCTTCCTGTTTTGGGGTACTTTCAAGTGTGATGTATGTTATGGTAGTGTGTACAGTGAACGAATGGGCAGGTGCTAGAAAAAGGAAACGGAATGTCAGTCACTGCTGTGTCACTAAACATGAGAGGGCTTCCTGCCTTTGCAGCTGCCATCGTGCAAGTGCCAGGTGTGCTTCAGGGCTGGCAAGTTTTAAGCCCAGCTCCTCTGCCTGTCAGTGAAGGGTTTCTGAATGTTCAGCACAAAGAAGAGAAAGAAGGTTGCTTCCCACATCCTATAGTGGCTGATGGGCCTTACAGACACAGAGACATGACAAGGCTGCATTTTGCTGAACTTCCTCTTAGTAAACTGACTTTTACTGGGTAGAGAAACTTCATCAAGCTCCACAAAAGTTACTGTGCTGATGTAATCTCCCTTTTGGTTTTGGTTTTAGAGTCAGCATCTTTGCATTACTTTACCTTTGTTTGTACCAGTAGATAGTTGACCAAGTAGCTAACTACTCACAGTTGCTAGTTCATAGTATTTTTGAGTAATCAAGACCCCAAAGGAAGTAGCTTTACATCAATATGTTTTTATGTGACAGCTTGTCATACGGGATATTAAAATTACTATAATTCACATTGCTACAGTGGAAACTATTATCTGATTATCAGGTGAGTTTTTTGTCATTAGACAAACACAAACAGGACTTAATTTACAACTTCTGACTCTTTATTATCTGTTATTCCAGGAAAATCAGAAAGCCGAGCAGGCCAACACACAAAGCAAGGGCTGGAAACAAAAGTTACTAGTCAAGGTTGGAGTAAATACAAATTCTGAAAGCCTGAAGTGAATCACTGGGACTGATGGCAAATGTGGGGATTGAGGGATTGTCTGGGATTTTGTGCAAAAGATCAGCAAGTGCAAAGAAAGCCAGGGAGAAAGGGAAGAAATTATATTATTTTGAAAGGAAAGGAGACAGAACAAGTTCAGCATGGACAGGCAAGTAGTTTTGTTTCTCCTCATCACAGATACTTTACCCATTTCCTCCCTGGTTAAATGGAGATAATAATACCAAGAATGGTGGATAATGACAGATTTCACTGTAGTCCAGAAAAGCGTTAATTCATCAATAGTTATTGCAGAGCTCCTCAGTATGACTGGAGATAAGTTGCCAGAGAAATGAAAATGATAAAAAACACAGTTACTGAGGATAAATAAAAAGACAGCATTGTAAAATGTAGAATTATGGGGTTTTTCCCCAGGAAATATAGTGACAGACATCTCCCTTTCTGTTTTGTCTATAAAACAGAATGTGTTTTCATACTGTCAAAGCACAAGTAATTACATGCCTTTGCTTCTCTGTAACTGGACTTAAGATCATTGGAAATGATGACGGAGATGCTTGTGTAAAACTAGTGAGAAATGAGACCTGGCCAGTGTTATATTCTCTGTTGATGAATTACATTAAAGCAGTTCAAGCAATCATTTGACTTTTCAACCAAATGGGAAAATGTACTGAGTCAAAAGAATAGCTACCTCTATGTACAATACAGAGCTGAATGTTTCTGCTTCAAGCCCAGCTCAGGTAACAGCTGCTCATCCTGAATCTGCGCCATAGAAAACTTAAAACTGAGAAAAAATGTTCTTTTCAGAATGGACAAACAGAACTCTCTGCCACAAGACATATTTTTCGCAATATAGTAAGAAGAGTGTCAGAGGTACAATAAACAGGAATAACACATTTTATAGATGGATAAATGAGTAAGGGATAAATTCTCATGACCCAAGGCATAATTCATGCATGCATTTACAAAAGGTGGGAAGAGATTACCCACTGAAGTATTATGGGATTGCACCGCCTGCTGAAGTTCATTCAAGCTGCTTTCATGGACAGAAAAACAAACCATTGATCTGCTATGTGTCTAAAAATAACAGCCTTAAAACAGGATCTGGTTTCTTTAAAGTCCTTTATTTAGACTTGCGTGAAGCATTTTACGAAACATTGGACTTATTTTGATTTGGAAAGCTGTGTAACTTCCCTACGGGAAGTTAAGAACTGTAACATGTCAGTCACACAATGTCTTTCCTCATAAAGAAACTGTTTCTGCTTCCTATCAAAACATCGATTCTCTGATACTATGATTTTGTTAATATTGATTTCCTGACTTCATTCATTATGTGACTTTTACTAAAGACCTGAGCACACTCTGATAATAATTAGGTAAAAGGATAAAATAAGGTGGATTGGGAAGAGGTGGGGAATACAAAACAGCTGACTAATCCATCTGCACAAACATTCTTCTTCAAAAGTGATTCACCCATAAGGGCAGGGGAAAAGCAAGAGGGTGCTGAAATTAAGGAATAGTTTGAAGGAGGAAAGAAAAACAATTCAAGACAGGACAAATGGATGAAAACTAGAGGTTTACAAGCAAAGGAGCCAGGTCAGGGACAGAGATGGAAATCCAGCTGCTAGGGACCACTGCTTCAGTCTACTTTCAATCCAGTGGAGAACACTATGGATAAGTCACAGCTGTTGGTCTGGAAGGCTGTACAGAACAAATACCACACATGCTGTGCAGCAGTAAGTTGTACAAGGGTAAGCCTGTGAAAATGTTTATGAGCAGAAGACTAAAGTAAGCAGTGTAACAAACGGTAAGAAAAACAGGGATTGGATGTCTTACAGTCCGTCATAGTATTAGTCAAAATCTGGCAAACACTGCAAGGCAGACAAAGCAAATGCTAATCAAAGGCAACATAACCAAAGTCCCAGGTACTGAAGCAGAACTAGCTGTATGATGGAAAGTGCAGTGACTTATAATACTTAGAGAAACGGAATCAACCAAGCCACCTTCTTTAGGATATTAAAAGCCTTCATTATATTCACTTTCCAGTCAGCTGTTAAACATTTCTATTGCAAGAGTATCCCTTGTACAGTTCTTCATGCCCATCTATATGAACACTTTCACAGCTATCAGATAATATTTTGGGTTTTTTTTTCTATGTCGACTACCTTTTCAACTTCATACTTTGTGTTTAGGATTTCTTAAATAGAAAAATTGACTGTTGTTACTGTGTCATGAATCTTCATTATCCTCTGAGGGTCAGTGCAAGATTCATCTTCTTCAGGGTTAATAGCCAACCACTGGATTTGTGAACGTGTTGTGGGAGTGTCTATGCACAGAGTTTCACAGTGTATTGCCAATACATTTCAGTGAGATGGCAACAACAGCAAAGATCTGTGCTAAGGCTAATTAAACTGTTTTTATTACATAAATGTACCTGGTTAGAATTCCTTGGGTATTTCTAGAGTGTGGTAGTTCATATAGATAAAACCTATATCTGTATTTCCTTTCCTATCAGTGTTAATCATCAAAAACATTTCCATAGCAAGATAAGCATTTCCTTTCAAATGCATTCTCATTCAAAATGCAATATCTTTTGATATTGTGTCCTTACCCGACGTAGGCTGCCATGACGGACAAGATTGGTATGGAGACAGAATGTAGAAGGCTCAGTTCTCGGATGAGCCAACCCTTCAGATTTTTGCTACATCGGTCTGGTAGATGAACAGAGCTATCATCTTTTATGTTTGACAACAAGTGTTGTGGTTTTGCCTCACTTTGCAACAAAGAACCACGCAGTTATTCTCTCACTCCTTCCCCCTCCCCAGTGGGATGGGGAGGAGAATCAGAAGGAAAAAATGCAAAAGCTCATAGGTTGGGATGAGAACAGTTTAACAGAATGGCAAAGGGAGAAGAAAACAACAATCAACACTACTGATAAAAAGCATATACAACTTGCAGTGTTCTCACCACCCAATGCTCATCTTGCTCCTGAGTAGCAAAAACCTCTCCTTAAGCCAGCTCCCCACTTCAGTACTGAGCATGACATCCCATGGTATAGAAGATCCCATTTGTTTGTCTGTTTGGGTCAACCTAGCCAGCTTCTTGTGAAAATTAACTGTATTCCAGCTGAACCCAGGACAATAAGATGGATCACCTTTCAAAAGTACATGTGAAGTGGGACCACGAGGAGTATTTCAGGGCCTTGCTGAGATGATGCAACAGCTTTTGGGTGAAATGTGGCACCCAAGAGCATTCAGGGCAGTGTGTTTTGTGGATGTGACTAGGGCAATTGGAAGAATCTTAAATCTGTGGGACAGTCCTTGGAAGCAATCTAATACATTAGTTCAGATGTAGCCAAAGATATTGCAATTGTTTTACAATAGAGTAGAACAGCTTTGACCATTGTGGGTTGATTGCTTGCCAGTATTTGACTTTTAAATGACAATCAGAAACTGCAGAATCATACTTTGAGTCATTCTTATTATTTTGCTTGCCAGAAGTTTATTAACCTCTTTTGCTCCCTAACAGCTCCTCCAAGTGCTATTTCAAATCTACTGTACCCAGAATGGTGCATGGTTCCCTTAAATGATGAGGAATGAAATCATGACCTTCTTTTCTACACAATGGTAGAAAAGTAGCAGTTTTAGGCTATGTTTCTCTTCAAGTGGCTTTTCAATACTGAAAAAGAACATTCCTGGGTAATACAAAATTATATTCTCGAATTTTCTTCTGAAGAATGAGCAATCAAGCTGAATGGAAGCAGTTTGTACAGGATATCAGTTGAGGTGCTCTTCTTGGCAGCTACAGTATGGCACACAGCTACATCTTCCCCTCCCTACTGAACTTGTGTGTAGTCAGTGTTCTCATTTAACCCAGTACCTGTTTTTTCTGGGTCAAAGTTGACAAGGTGAGCAGCCTTACAGGGAAAATGAGTGTGGAGCGGAGACGAAACATAGAGAATGGAACAGGCATAAAGTAGGGACGTTTTTGTTTGTTTTCTCACTCCTGCGGAGTGAGATGTCTGCATAGAATTAACAATTTTATGTTCTGCTCCAATCTGACACTTGTTCTTGGCCTTCACTCATCAATCAGCTTTCTGTCTTAGTATCTCGTATATAAAAAGGAAAGAATGTTCTGTTGTTTCCACAACTACCTGAGTAATTAATTAATTAGTACTTGTAGAGCAGTTTGATCTTAATCAAACTGTTAATCATTAGAAAAAAATTTATTGTGGAACACTTGCTGTAAGTATATGTTCTAACGACTGCTAAGCTCTGTTTCATTCATTAAAAAGATTGTAACAAGACTCAATTCTTTATGCTCTGCCATTCACTAATGTGCACCATCCATTTTATCCGGCAGCTTTAGGCATTAGGGAGCAGTCCAAGTCTCCCTGACGTCAATGAAAAAATCCTCTCTGACATGAACTGGCACCACAATTTATCAGTTAATTGTAAAATGCCACTATTGATATTCTCTGATAAAACTCTGGAACCTACGTTCCTACGTACTGTTAGAAAATCTCAGTCATTAAAGAATTCCCTCCATTTTTTCCTTTTATTATTTTTTAACACGAAAGGTGAGAATAGATTTCATATACACCTTCCCTACCATTACTGTTTCACTAGTTTTATATTTGTGATGCCTTTACTAATTTTTTCCAATCCATTTAATCATTCCTCATAATCATTCATTAATAAATCTATTAAATATACATTTAATCAGATATATTAGTTGTAAATGTTACCAGTCCATTTAGGTTCTTCAGTAGTAACTATCAGAGACATACTCAATCACTTTAAGATACATACTTCTCTCTTATGCTTCCTTTCTAAAGGAATTCAATGTTACCTGTGAGTATCATGCAAGTTTAACTGGAAGGCTGAATGTACAATCTAATTGTCAATCATAGATTTATCAGGAATATCTCATGCTTTTTTATGAAACAGATTTCAGTTCTGGAGTGCTTAACAAATGTGAATAATATGTATTCCTTAATCATATCAGTAGTTCCAGAGTCTGTATATTCTAGAGAATGTCAGTCATAAAGAGAGCCAAGGTAAGGTCTTCAGTGTTTTCCTGTTTCGTTCTGGGCTACTGCTCATTTTTCACATTTAGATGCTTGAATGACAGAGAGAAACTAATGCCAGATTTACTTTCTTCTGCTTCTTGTAAGTCCTTCTTGAACCAGTGATCCACTGTTTTTCAAGATTATTATATAACTTTGGGTACATGGTCTCCCGCTACATTTAACTCAAAAAGCATCTTTTTTAGTAACGTTCATTTAATGTTTTTCTGTTGCTAAGAACTGGTAATTTGCAGCTTCAGTTCTCATTCTAGCTGCTACTGGCTTCGTGTATTGATCTGTGGCCTGGTCAGAGTCCTGGGTATCTGTAACACTATGTTTTCCTTTGAGAAGTTATTTTCTGAAATGAAAGACAGAGGAGCAAAGAAATACAATACTGTTGATACAGCTATATTGTGGCAGAATATACATTACTAGGAAAAATGGATTATTTGTGCTGCCTCAAATACTGAAAAATCTAGATTCATGTGATTAAAAATAATGGCTCAACATATATTACACCCAGTGGGCTCATTCAAAGTGAAAATTCTACGACAGTTGTTCTTGTTCAAACACATACAGAGATCTGTTAATAAAGAGCTCATGAACAAATGTTGCTTTGTAACAGGCCATGGAAACAGACCACAAAGATTCAGTCTTTACAGAGCTAAAGGGATCCCTCATTTAACCTACCTGTTCTAGTGGTCAAATCTGTGAAGACAGGTAGATACTTTTTTCCAATTAGTTAGATAAGTTAGGTTACTTTTTCCAATTATTTATATAAGTTAGGTTACAAATATGCTTTCAGAGCATATCAACATTTCTAAATCAAATGATCATAAAATGGTGCGAAGCATTGCTTTGGGGAAACTGGTGAGAAAGTATATTACGCTTCCTGTGAGACAAATGCATATTAAGCTAGGAAACTTGAACAATAGCCCTCATGCAAAGGAAAAATGCTGTTTCATTGCAATGACGCTTTGCTGAAGGATCTGACACGTCAAAAGGTAAAACCCCTATCTCCAAATCCCAGAGAGAATTCTGCAACAGGAAAGACAGAATTTTGCATAGAAGAAATTTTATATAAATATTTCTTTTTTAAAAATTAATTTTACTACAGAGGCTTTGAAGTAGTTGAAATTCAGATTACACATTTTACAAAACCATGTAACATGGAACATGTGACTATTTATGTCAAGCTAGTAATTCCATTTAGTGAAAGAATATTATACTTAATTCACACAGTTGTTTCTGACTGTCTTTACTGTGTAACTCAATCAGTCTGTCTTTAGAAGTGTGCAGGAATACCTGACTGGGAATTGCTAAGCAGATCAAAGAAGCAATATACAACTTAAATTAAGAAGCTGATTGCTTGTATTCCTAACTATGGCAGTCAGAAGGTGCCAAGTATTAGGTTATTCAAGCTTGTTGGGTGAAGCCAGCATATATATCAAATGGCTAGTACATACTATAACAGCATCTAAATAAATATTCAACTTAATGAATTTGCAGTTGCAAATCAGAAATTTTATCTACTTAATACTAAATCAATTATTAATGTTTAAGGAACTACACTAATTTTATCTGACCTCGCCTGTTTTGTGCAGCTCTAATATGCTTATGAATATGTTGCCTGCATGCCATGCTGAAGACTTCATGGTAGGTTGTGTTTGTTTGCCACTCTCATGTGAAATCTCACCATCCTGCAAACTTCTCTGTGTCATGATCATTGAGGACTCTTTCCTCATTATAAAAATGACATCTGCTTCAGCGGAAGGAGCACTGAAGTATTCATCTGTCTCCAGAGTTGAAAGAACAAGAGCCAGGACTAAGTGGAAATAGAGTCTTATAAATAAGTTTCCATGGAGGTTTCTGCAAAGGAGAAATAAACTGAGATGATGTGTATGATGCAGACACAAAATAATTCACAATCCACATATTTAAAATAGCAATATATAGCTTAAAATGCAATCTTTGCTGATGTACCTTCTTTACATGATTTCATTTTCAAGCTGCCATATTAAGAAAGGGTGTAAAGTCTTTGATAGCTTCACAGAATCATGGTGCTTACAGTATGATGATATTGCCAGCAATGCTGTGTAATGGCCATAAAAATTAATATGGTGTGTGCTGATTTCTGCACCAAAGATTTAATGTTTGCTTAAACTGTACAAGAGTAGTAGAAATGTGCCCAGTTCTGACTAAAATTTAAAAGCAATTTGAAAAATCTATGATTAATTCTGTAATGATTTTTTTTATTTATGTATTCATGCATCTCATGTGGAGTGGTTCTATCATTCTTCAACGTGCATTAGACATGTTTCCCATACCAACACAGTCATTATTTCTGAATAATACGGAAAGCATTAGGGGTTCCAGGAGACACAGATAATTCAAATGTATGCTATTCTATTGTGTACTGTTAAACTGACAAAGAATTGCTAAAGTGTCTCTTTTTGTATATGACTTCTGTATGGCTTCTTTTTATATAGGACTTCTCTGTGGGTTGTGCCAGGGAGACTTGGGAAACTTTTGCTTGCTACAAAATAACAGGCTTCTCTGA